ATATATATATATATATATATATATATATATATATATATATATATATATATATATATATATATATATATATAATTATTGATCTATTTTGTTTTCGAATCAGGAAAACCGTATTTTATCGTAACGATTTTATTTCTAATCAAAAATGAAAATGAGAAATTATTTATGAAAAAATAAACATACAATAAACATACAATCATCATTGTGTAGTGATAAAATAATCAATCCTGGTGATAATAATTTATCATTTCCAAGAAATACTTTTTCATCAATCGAGAATAGCATATGGAAATAAAATGTATAATACAGTACAGAGATCGATGATTTTGAGAGCAGATATTTTTATTACAACAAAGAAAAGCAAATAATAGAAATATCATCGTTTTTTTTTTGCATAAAAAGTTTTTTTTATATTAAAAATGATTGTAAATTGATGCAAAATAAATGATATTTATTAAATCATTCATCATTTTATTGTTAAAAGCGTACTTATATAAGTGACAGTAAAAAGCTTTGACAAATTCTTATTACAATTTATTTCCCAATTCTTTTTTTTTTTCAAATTTAAACTTATGATTGTATAATGATTTATGTAGTATTTTAGGTTGACAAAAAAAATTTTTTCTTACCTCTCAATAGCTGTGATTTTTCTCTGTTATAAATATGTTTTCTATTGAATGATAAAAATTTGGAAATTACATTTATTACAAAAAGAAACATTTCATTTTAATCATGAGCAATACACAAAATAGCATTTTTCCTGGATTTATCTTTTCGGAATTTTACACCTTCAACATTATACTATTACAGCTACAGTACAGTTACAGTTACAGTACACTAAGCTGCAGTTATTATGATGATAAACCAACATCGACAACTTTTCATCGTTCTTATCATTTTCCATTTATCACTTACTGCAACTTCTTATCCGTGTAAGTTGTTTATCATTATTATTTATTATTACTTATTATCATTTATCATTTATTATTATTTATTATTTATTATTATTATTATTATTATTATTATTATTATTATTATTATTATTATTATTATT